CCCCAAAACCCCAAAACCCCATGAAAAAATAAATTTAATGGATTCTTATTAAAATTAAAATAAGATTAGTTTAGTAATTTAAAGATAATTCCTCTGAATAAATCAATCAGCTGAAGCTATCTGATCAAAATGTCCATTTGACTAGAACTCCGACATTATAGTTCTTTGGAGAGGGCTCTGACAAAATCTTAGAGATATTGCTTTTGCTAGCTACGGACACCTTGAGGTTTCTGTTAAGTCTGTGACTACAAACCTAGTTGAAGAGGATTTCTTCATTTAGCTCAATTTATGAGTTAACTTTAGATGAGTGTGTTAATTAATTTTCCATTCCAACCTTCATTGACACCGGATATCCCATAAATCCTTTCTTTTCTTACTTCACATCGTAATCTATCTCAACTGTTCCTTTTATATCATTTCTAAAGCTCTCCTAACCACCAAGTGTTACTTGCTTGCTCAAAATGTTGCTTCTTAAGTATATATAGCGAAAATCATTTGGCTTATAAGCAGCTTCAGCCTCTAGAGACTTTAGATCATTAAAATCGTAATCTAAGGCAAAGCCTAAGAGATACTTTTCATGTATTTGAAGATTAACTGTGTTAGAGAGAGTCTTCAAAGTATCTTAAGTATTAAGTGCTAGGTGAACCTAAAGGGAAAAGTTTATTATAACTGTTTTAAAGTCAAATAAATTGAAAAGTTATAATATTTAACCTTCAAATTATCAATCAGGATTTTTATATCCTTTAATATCCTCGCTTGAATAATTTGAGGTGTTAAAATTAATATAATGATAGTTTTCTCTCTATGAAAGAAGAGGAATGTATTACTTACTGTTTCCCAAAGCCTAATGTTAGCAAACACTGGTGATCTATACCTCAAATGAAAATTTGAAAGTAAATTTCCACTCTGTGAATTTAAGAAATGATCAGAACCTAGTTGAACGAAATTATTCTTTATGTTAAGGTTCTTTGGAGTGAACTAAAACTCAGCTAATGCTCCTTTATTGCCAATTTTGATGGTGCTGGTCGACTGTGGAGTAGTAGCAAAGACCTAACTAAAGTTATTGAAAGCAAATGAATCTTTGGCAAGTTCACTGTCAACTGATGCAGTTTTGAATACTTAGACGTTGTGTAACATTTTCTATTGATAATTTTAGATTTATGAAATTGATCAAAAGGGTTTGGATTCTTACGAAAGTTTGATTCAGTCTTGTTTGAGCCTTCAATGAGAATGCATTTCCGCTGTAGAATGGCTTATTAGATGCTGTAGAATGATTAATACTTTGATGTTTGAATAAGCTTACTTTTTTGTTGTTCTTTATGGTTCTTGTAAAATAGCATTTTAGTTTTATGACTAACGAAGTATTAGTTAAGGATTGTGGTTTTGAGATAGTTTTTCAAATAATTATAAATTAACTTGAGCCTTTGATTTTTATATTAGATTTTCCTTAATCTGTCAGAATACGCCAGTGCGGGGTTTTGGGGTTTTGGGGAGATCGGAAG